CATGAAGTGCACTCATTTTCCTCTTTAGTAATCAGTTAGTCCTCAGAAATTAATTACAGGTCAGATAAGTCAATTTTAGTAGTGAGAGAATACAAGCATTTTCAATGAAAACACAGTTTTTCAGGCCAGTCCCGTAGGGTTTGTACACATGGTGTCAAGTGCAGTTTTTATAGGAAACTCTTCCACATTTTGTTTGCTAGAGTGACATGTAAAAGTTGTGGTTAGTCTACATTGTAATGTATATGTTCATTGTATGTATTGTTTATGAGAAGGTAAATATTTCATTTGAGCATTGTTTCTATCTCTGTTTACAGCAAGAAATGGCAAAGACGGTGTGTGCTAAAGGGAGAGATGTTGAAGTGAAAAATATTACAGTTAGAGAACAGGGTCATTCTTGTAGAGTTGCGTTGTGGAGAGACCAGTCTTCAATGGATGTGAGCATTGGTGATTTTCTGGAAGTAACCAATGTTGTTGTCAATGAGTTTGATAATGAGAGGTATGTCAACACAACAAGACAGTGTTGTGACGGTAAGTTGTATAGTGTTTTGTTTTAGTTGTCATGTATTGATTGGAATGGAGATGAAAGGTTTGATGTGTATTTGTAGTATTTGTGAAAATGTAATTGTGATTTGTTTTTTTTAAAGAGATGTATTGATACTTTTCTGGTAGAGTAGGTTTTGGTCAAGTGAAATGTTTAGAGATATTTATACATGTGTATGGAATTGAATATCAGTGGTAGATTGTTTTACATATAAATAGTGTTTTGTAAGCTGTTGCAGGCAGAAGTATGCTACTGTATATGTGTCTTTTTGCTAAATTGTTAATTAAAAACAACTGATGTTCAAAGTGCATCACCTTTTTTCATATCTTATTTCTGTTGATGACAAAAACTTGGTTTGGCCAACTTTCATGTCAGGGCTCACTACATCTGAGCAAGGGCAATAAATTTGGAGCTGGTCTTTTGAGCAAAGGGTATTCCTGTGTAGAAACAAGGCCACGCCCCCAAGGGGATTGATTTTGTTGGTCTGGACTCAATTTCAGGAGCTGGCCTGTTTATCTGTCAAGCCCTTAGGTCTGCTTGATGTGGGTAGATTGGAGGAGACATGGGTGTTTTTTCCCTTGGCTGGACGTATGCCTGGATGAGGGGGGGGTGGACTTGGAAGTGATGGTTAATGTCTATTTTATGCAGGACTGAAAAAGGATCCCTCTGCTTAGGAAAAAGTTTTGATTACTAACAGAAGTAGATTGAAAGTTTTTTTCTCTCTGAATAGTATTAGCAGGGCTCTGTGATGTGCATATGTTGCTGCAGTACATAATATGAACAAGTATGACATCACCAACTGAGCAAATCTAGCCACTCCATCTAGAAAAAATGAAAATGCTGTGCAAGGTTTTTAATTTGAAAGTCTTGTGTTTGAAACGTCTATTTTTGTAAAATAAATTTATGGATATAAGAAGTTGTTATAAGGAATCACTGTTGGTAGTGACTTTTGTGTCTTACATAAATATACAGTGAAGAAGATAACATTATTTTTTGGGGTTTTTATTGTTTTATAGAAAGTGAACCGAGAAAAAGTGCTGGAAGAAGCAGAGGTCATCGGGTTTGACTGTGATATTGGTGAAGACAAAGTTCAATTGACAAGTAACCAGGAAGGTTTTCCCACATACACCATTAATAAGGCATTGTTGAAAGAAGCATTTGGTGAAGGGAGTGACGATATTGAAGTTGAGGAGTTGTTGATCAGCAGAGTACCTTTCAAATGTAAATTTGTTCTAAATGAGAAAGGGATGGATTGTTTTTCTTTAATTGTAGATTAGTTTAAGTGTATGTTAGAGTTGTGTAGAGGACATCAAGGAAGTTTAGTATTTAAGTGTTGCAAAACTCTTGGGTTTTATTGGTATTTCTAGGTGTGAGATCTGCATGAAAAGGCAATTGGGTTTTTGTAATGAGAAATATTGGATGTACACAAACGTGGATGGACATACAATTTGTGTTGTAATTATGACTTGCCAGTTGTCTTATGGTTTAGAAATGGATAATTAGGGAGTTAATTTATTTGTTTATGAAATTTGCCTGGGAAATCGTTGCATTTACAGGAGTTTGGCAGTGTACATTATTTTGGTTGTTATTATGAGTTGCCAATCGCTCTGAGTTTTAGACATTTATAGTTAAGCAGTCAATCTAGTTTTTTGTTCGGATATTGTCTGGCAAATAACTCTATGCATATAAATGTGGTTGGACACACAATTTTGGGGGGTTGTAGTTATGACTTGCTTATTGTTTCTGCGTTTAAGGTGGATAATTAAGGAGCCAATAGTTCCAATTTCAGGCTTTCTATTGGATGTAGACAAGTTCGGCTGTGTGCATTATTCAGGTGGTAGTTATGACAAATGATTGGGTTATATTTGTATAAGACATGCATAACTTAGGAGTTCATTGACCCTTTTTATATGAAAGTTCCCTGGCAAATCATTGCATTTACATAAGTTTTTGTTGGGCACAGAGTTTGGGTTGTGGTTATGATTGGTCAAATTAGTTTTGGGTATAAGACATGCATAAGTAAGGCCATAGGGCATCTTTCAATGGAAATTTTTAATTGGCATATCATTAAATTTACACGAGTTTGGTTGTGCACATTATTTGGATTGTAATTATAACAAGTAAAATCATTCAGTTATACATTGGTTCTGTGTTTTGGTATAGTATCTAATAAAAGTGATTGGAATTTGTTTTTGATTAAACTGTGGGCATATTGCATTTACACAAGTTTGGTTTTGGATATTGTTTGAGTAGTAATTAAAACTTGCTAAATTAGTGGGGTAAATTTGTGTGATCAGATTTGTTAGAGGGTATCAGATGTGTACTAATAAAGAATTAATTAGATTTTGTTCTTTATGAATATGTTTGGGCGTAATGCGGTAGTGTATTTTACACAAATTTGTCGTGCACATGCATTATTTGGGTTGCAAGTTTAATTTGTGAATGCATGATGGTATACAGGTATTATTTTTGAGTATAAAGCATGGAGAGTGAGTTGTTAATGTGACTTTTTTTATGAAACTCTTAGGGCATATTTTGACAAGTTTGTTTTGGTGGACTATTTTGATTGTTATTTTGACTTTCAAGTAATTGTGTTATATTGGTATTGTATAAGACATCTATATGTATGCATAAGATGCATAAAACATCTATAGACAAAGGAGTGAATTGGAGTGTGATGAAACTGTTTGGACATATTGATAGTTTTGTGTTGGTGTGGTTTTATGGGTATGTTATAACAAGTTTATCTAGAAGGTCAACTAGTTATGAAAAGATGCCCAAGAATGTTCATGAAAAACATCAGAATCAGGAGATCAGCTTTTCAGAATGTTAGATAGACTGCATGTGTTTTTGTTGTGTGTTCATTTGGAATGTTACAAGATGTATCTTACATTCATATTCAGCTGAATTTGAAGTTATTAGTACATGTAGAGAATTGTAGTTGTTTTTGCTAATTTGGTTCAGGGTAGTTATGTAGTTTGGGGCAGTTAGAAAATTTGTTTTGCAAAGTTAGCTAGTTGCAGAGTTGCAAGGTTATATTCATGAAAAATAGAGTGGAAAGTTTGTTTTTATATTTTCAGATTTAGATGTGTATGCAATGACCAGGCTGATTGTGCATGAGTTCTTGATACTGTAGATATGGTATAAATGAGATTAATCAAACTTACCATGTTAATCATCGATATTTTAAAAAAGTTGAGTCAGGGGTGATGTATTTTTAGCTGGGGAATTGGATAGAGCGGGTTGAATGAATGATTGAACAGAAATGTATTTTATTTTTGCTTCTACTTTTATTGAAGTTTAAGTCAGCAGAAGAGCTGGACTTTCTACTGTTGTCATTAAATTATTGATGCTTATAATCATAGTTGGTGGAAATTATGGAAAATAGGAGTAGCATGTGTTAAAGAAAATCAGTGTGTAATGTTATTTATGTACATGTGTTCTGGAGAAAGTTCAAGTGTTTGTTCGTTTTTATTAAAAAAACATTAAAAGCATTTTGGTGTTCTTCCTTGTTTCATGAATAAGGTGTTTGTAGTTGATAAATTAAGAGATCAATTTCTGTTGAGTACTTGTAAAAATTTGTTTGGATTCTGAAGTAACCGGATAGATGGTGCGTTTATCTTAGTCCAGTCTTGTTTTTATATAAAAAGTAGTGTGAAACAACACTTTTGGGGAGAAGTGAATTGTCCCTTAGGAAGGGCATAAGATATTGGATTAGTGCAACTTTTTTTTTTTGGGGGGGTGAAATTGAGTTAGAAAAAGACTTGTCATTCGGCTTTGGTGACTTCATTTGTTGTGTTGAATCTACAGTTATTACAGGGTGTATCAAGAAGGTATTGTCTTAAAAATATATTTAGAAGATAAAAATTTTTAGCAGGTATGTTTAAAGAGGGAAAGGGAGATATCTTGGTTTTATTCAGCTTAAGATTAATAATGTCATGGCAAATGAGTTCAGACTACTTTTATAAATGATCCAAACATTTTGGGCCAATATAGATATTGAGTGTTTGAAGAGTTGAAGCCTATGTATGAAGGCTGAAATGCATTATGTACATGTATCTGATCTGTTCGACTTTTTAGGAAGATCATCATTTCATATATTTTTTACCCGGTCATTATTTTGTAGATCAGAAATATTTTTTAGCACACGTGTATTTACATTGCTGCGTGATTACTGTTTATTATTTTTTTGCATGTTGTTTGTAGCCATTTTTTACAGACTAAAATATTTAAATTGGATTTGAAGATGAAGTTCAAAAGAGTTCCTCACGTTGTTACTTTTTTTAAAAACACTGTTCATTTTGATCATTTGAAACATTTGTTAGATCAGCCTAACATTTTCAAGTGATTGAAAATGGACTTTTTTCTAAATGGAGAATTCTGTTGAACTTAAAATAAATTTTTGAAAAGAGGGGTGTGTCGTCGCATAATCGGCGAAAAGGAAGGTTTTTGGTAAATTACCGCACTTGACTGACAACGTGAAAATTTATCAGTGCGGTTTTGAGAACTAAACTGGACAGCGCACCGTTTGCGTGCTGCGCCAGCTGAGTACCGATGACTGTTGCGTGGACAGCAATGGTCTGTGGCTGGCCGGCAGGAGTGGAAAAGTTGGAAAGTAGCAGTGCGCCCTCTTTGTATGTAGGTTCGTGTGGTTCCATAGAGCTGTTTACGTATTGAGTTATCTGTTTTCCATAATTGGTACATGTGAACAATGAGGTCTGGTATCTAGTGTAATCGTCTTTTCCATGAGGTACGCTCGATTGTCTGAGCATTAGACCTTTTTTGTTAGAAAAATGAGTCAATGAAGATATCTATGATTAACGTACAGTTTGTCATGATTGTAAGATGGGCATAATGAATGTGTTGTGAAGGTTAGAAATAGAATCGATGGTTGTGGGTTGTGAAAATGAAGACTTGGTGGTTAGAACAGGCTTACAGTTACACAAGTTATGTAGTGTTCTGGAGAGTTGGACATTAGAGGAGGACGTAGCTTAGGCTATGTTTACATTGTAGGTCTCGGCGTCTATGGTTAATTAACTTTCATGGTATAAAAAGGCTTGTCAACTACATGCATTTAGCTAGAACATAACTCTACACACAATTATATGTATGTTTTTTAGAAGTTATGATGTAGTTAACATTAGATTTTATTTGAATGTTTGATTCTGGTATGTACTGTGGTAGCTCAAACTATGGAGGTAGATGCTTAAACCCTCATTTTGGGGGGGGTGTAGGAGGAGACTGTGTTCCTACAATAAGATGGATAATTACATTTCATGTTTTAAACCCACCTAATTAGATAGTGTTGAAATGATGTTAAGTAACTGCAGGGTTAATTTTGTTAAAAGACGTCAGGGTTTTGAATTGTGAAGAAGTATGAAGGTGAGCAAATAGTAGCTGTTCTGACAAATGATATAGAAGAGTCATGACTGCATGGCATATTTTTCAGTGAGAAATGTTGTATTTGCTCACAATGTATAAATCTAAATTTCTGAATAACAGAATCAGTGCAATTTGAACATTGGTGAATTTGGTTTTTTAGGGTGACCAGTTGGTTTGAAATGATTAGAAATGGTGAAACAGTAAGGTGTGTGCAATTGGAAGATGTGCGAGTTTTATTGCTCTGTATTTAAACATCAGTTGATGAAATGTGTGGAGTTGCATTCAAAAATGAATGAAATACATTAGCAGCTCAGCTTTGCTAAGGGGCTTTTTGAAAATACACAAAAGAAATCCTTGTGTGATACTTGTTGATGTAGGTCAAAAGGTACTTTCATTTTGTCATTGGAAAAATGATGAATGCACAAATTTTATATGCATAACATGACAAATTACTTTTGTCTGATAGACAATGTTTTTACTATTAAATCATGCAAGGAAAAAGTTGCACTCTTGTCCGCAAATTTAGTTTCACACTGGAAAGTGAAAACAGTATTCATTGCTTTACTGGAGCTAAAACAAACTTTATTACTTCATTTTGAAAATTTATTAACTCATTTAAATTGAGTTTTACCTTACTCAATGTACATGTACATTATAAACACTGAATGCTCATTGTGTTAACTGAATGCTTGTGAAGAAAACGCAAGCTTGACTTGGGTGGGATTTAAACTCACAATCTTCTGCTTTCTAGTGTAGATGTTGTAATCACTTTATCATCAAAATTGATATTTAAGTCAGCAAGGAAAAAGCTGTTTGATGTTCAATAATGGGTAGGTCTTTTTGAGTGACTTCAAGACACCTCTTGTGTATAAGGTTGACCGAGGTGTGCATGTGCTGCTGATATAAGTTGACCAAAGGTTGTTGTAATATGTGTCGCAAATTTCTGCAAAGAGGTGTGTTCTTTAACTTTTTCTCAGATACATTCTTGATGTCATCTCAGAGGGTATTAATAAGATTACAGTGAAGGGATCATGCTGGCATTCCATGCACTCAATCTTCTTGTCTTGCAGATAGCATTTGGTGACTTGAGTATGTTGATGTGCTACATTATCTTCCAAAAAGATAAACTCATTAACAATGGCTGTGTTATATGGCAGACAAAAATTCAGATTCGTTTTCTTGTATAAAATTCTATAAAATGGATGATTTAATAGTAAAAATGATACCTATTGGGCAAAATTAAATTGTCAATGTGTCCATCATGTTTTGGAATGACAAAAATCATTAAGTACTTTTGGATTAAGTCAAAGAGTATGAGATGGCGACTTTCTTTTTGGTTGAGTGTATGTGTACATGTTTTTGTGTTTTTTTACAGACTGCTTTTGACTTTTGAAATGATGATGGAGTGTGCTGTCTTCTGTCCCAGGACGAGCCAGCTACCTGATGAAAGTCAGGTTTACAAGAACCAGAGTAAAAATCCTGGCATGAACCAGGTGCCTGGAGAGAACCAGGTTAATCAGAACCAAAGCCCAAATCCTGGCATGAACCAGGTACCTGGAGAGAACCAGGTTAATCAGAACCAAAGCACAAATCCTGGCATGAACCAGGTACCTGGAGAGAACCAGGTTATTCAGAACAAAATAAAAAATCCTGGGGGGAGCCAGGTACCTGGGGAGAGCCAGGTTTATCAGAACCTAATTGAAAGACAGGAAATCTTGAGAGATGATGAATTTGTTGAATATAACATGTGCGGAAAGACAGGTGATAGGTATGACTTGTGTGGACTTGGTCAAACAAGAAGTGATACATTGAAGAGGAGGGTTTTTGATGAAAGTAATGTGTTGAAGTGCTATTACTTACAGGTTGTTCGACCAAAGAAGATACAGTTGAAGAAAATTCGAAAAGAACATGAGAAAAAGATGCATCAGAAGAGACAAGACAGAGTGAGTATTTTGAAACAGAAAAGAGGAAAGAGATCATCACTAATTGGTAATTTACGTGGTTTGAAATGGCTGAAGCAGTATGGTTGGACAAAGCAGAGTGGTGGAGGACTTGTTTTGGACTATGTTGAAGAGATGTGGGAAGGAAATGGCAGAAAGAAGCAATCACGACAGCACAAGAGGAAAGTAAGAAAACAGGTATTTAGACAGACACACAACATCAGGAAAGGAGGAAGGGTTATTGAGTACCGTATAAGCAAAGAGGATAGAAAGGTACATAAAGAGGAGCAAAAGTCTATCTGGTGCCATACAAAAAGAAGCATCAGTACAGTTTTGAATAAGATGAAGAGTTTGCAGGACAGTACCAATGAGAAAATGAAGAGAATGAATTACATTCACAAGAATACCTGTTTCCAAAAGCAGTCTTCACAAAGAAAGAGGAAAGAGCAAAACAAAAGAATCAGAAATTGTGATGGGGAGAGATCGGTTGTGATCGAAAGAAATTCTAGTGGTAATGAAAACAAGCAGTGTTGGATGTGTGATGAAATTATCAAGTCACATGAGCCTAAAGTGCAGTGTAATTGTGGACTGTGGTATCATGTAGAGTGCATGGGATTTACAAATGGTATGACAGATAGTGTCTTAGTAAAGAAATCGGTTGTATGGATATGTTGCAAATGCCGAGGGAGTAACTACTGTAAATGTTTATATGGATCTCTGGACATTTCTATAGATTTGACTATGTATGAGGAAATGCTGATGAATGGTTCAGAAGAAGATGTAAAGAAACAGTCAGAAGAGGATTTTGACAAAGAAACTGTTGAAGGTAAGAACTTCAGAACAACTTTTGAATATGTGAAGACAGTTTCAAATGGGTCTATAGAATGTAAAGATAAAGACTCCTCGACTGAAAGAACAAAGATGGTTTCGGTGAATTGTCTTTCAGTGAAACAAACTGGAAAGTTTTCAGGAAGTATGTTTGGTGATGAAACAAACAATAAGGAATTGGAGACGAGAAGAGGATCAGGGAGAAAGAATGAAGTGACATTTCTGAATAAAAGTACAGAAGAGATAATATGTAAACAGTCAGGTGGTTATTCACTGAGGAGTAAGAAAAGCCAGTGTCCGAAAGTATGTGATGAGGGTGAAAGTCAAATCAGTTTGACAAAGTCCAGTGGAAAGAAAAGTTCAAGTGGAAAAAATGAAAAGGTTAAACATGATGTTGGTATCAGGAGTGACAGTAATAGTGAAAGCTGCCAGTCAAGAAGTGTTTGTGATAATCAAAATGAAATGTTAAAAACAAAACATGAAACAGGGTATGAAGTTTGCAATAAGGAAGATTTATCATATGATCATGAAAACGGGGAGATGAAATTTAAAAAGAGACCACACGAAATTGAACAATGTAAGTCTAAAGTAAAAAAAAATGTAAAACTTCACCTTTGGGAACTCATCAATCAATGACACTGTAACAAGAGAAATGTAAGTATGCAACTAGTAGGACAGAGAGAAGCTACCATGGAGAGAGAAGCTGTAATAAATCAGAGGCAATCATTGTACAAGGAAGTTTCCATCAGGGTGATTATAGATTTGGATGGAGTGCAGGAAAACAATGTGTAGCCAATAGCTTATGCTGTGTGTTATATAGTAAAGTGAAAGATTTGAAAGAATGGGGCTGTTGTGATGTAGATATTTCCTTGAACACTGGAAATGAGTTGTACAGGCATTTATCTTGGAGTTCAACAATAACTAATGAATACTTGCTAATAAATGAACTGCCAAATGAATTAGATTTGCTTAATCACCATTTCAGTATGAAATTTCATGATCCTGTATTTGGAATGTTTAGAGAAGAGTGCAATTTGGCAGAATTTAATTTGATGCAGTTCAAATGTGCAGTAGAACAGAATCTACAGCAATATTATGCAAATTTCTTGAGTTTCAGTGGCAATACATTTGTAATAATTGCTCAAGGTGGGATGTACTATATATTTGATTCTCATTCTAGAAATAAGCAAGGTTGGCAAGTCAGTGAAGGTAGAAGTCTGTTAAAAGGTGTAGCTACTTGGCAAGACGTATACAGGCATTGTACTGATTTAGCAAATTCTATGGGTGTCCATGATGAGCAGTTTGAAATGACAGGTGTGTCTGTGTGGTTAGATGAAGAAATGAGACATGATATGGATGGGAATAATGCCATTAATACAAATATATCTTGTAATGTCAAATGTAGTAGTTCTGAAATGAGTTTGAAAAAAAAAAGATGAGAATGGGAGTGATGTGGAAATTTTGCAAATTTGTGAGATGCAAAGGTTTCAGTTCATTCCCCTGACATATAATAGGAAGCAATTACTGTGTAGTGAACATAAAATGGGCCAAATATGTCTAAACTGTAATGAAATACGAGAAACATGTGAAAGGATGGGAAGACCTAACTCTGTGAAAAAAATTAAAGGTGATGGCAATTGCTTTTTCAGAGCTATTTCATTTGCCCTGTCAGGAACTGAGGATAATCACGTGCAACTGAGAATGGCCACTGTAAATTACTTGTTGAAAAATGGAGATAAATTTAATGGGTTTTTGCGACAAGGATTTCTCAGTGTTGAAGAATATGTGGTTCGGGAATTGATGTTTAATTGCGGAACATGGGCCACAGAAGTTGAAATCATTGCAATGGCTCACATGTTAAAAACAGATATATACATGTACACATTTGATGATGTAAATAAATGGTATGTTTTTAGTGGAAGTGTCATTGATAGAGAGGCTGTAAGATCAGATGAGGCCATTTACTTGTATCACAGGCAAAGAATTCACTATGATGTTGTGTTATCAGTTCTTGAAATTACAAGACAATGTAATTGGCAGGAGGATAATGGTGCAAGTGCAGAGTGTATATGTGAGAATGGATGCAAAGCAGATTCAAACAAAAAAAGGCCAAAGCGAGTAAATAAGAAATTGCAGCAAAGAAAGAAAAGGGAAAAAAGCAGGAAAAGATATGCACAGAAGACTAAGAATGTGGAAAGAGTCAGTGAAGGGTCAGGTAAATGTGATAAATGTGAATTAATAGGCAGATTGGACATTAAGAATTTGAATGAGCGATTGGAAAATAAATACAGTAGTGACGAGAAAAAGTAGAGAAAAAAAACAAGTAATCAGAAGAACTATCAAAAAAATGGGAAGAAAAAAAAAAGAATTACTGAAAACAAAGTATAATAATGATGTGACTTACAAAATGAACAAGTTACAGGTCCAAAAAAGGAGATATCACATAGATGAACACAGAAATGCAGTTTTAAATTGTAGAAAACAGAGTTATTGGGAAAATTCCGAATACAGAGAATTAAAGATCAGT